TGTGAGTGTGTGTGTCTCTGTATGCGTATGTGCCTGTATGTGTTGGTCTATGCACGAAACAAGCAATGATGGCTCAAAGTAATTATAAAAGCAAAATTAACGTCTATCCTCAGTCATCAAGGTTTGATGACCACTATCTCCCCTTTTTACATATAAGTTTTACCATCAGTCCGATTGCACAAAGTCTGAAACACGTATGGTTATGTTTATGAGCCTTCTAGTTGTCTTCATGTGAGAGAGAAACACTGGAATTAAAGTAAAAAGATGTGACCATGATTAAATCCAAAACAAAAAAAGACTAATAGCGTCGACTCCTTTTTGCAGGCGGCTCAATTCTCTCCCTAAATTTGTGGCAATTAATTAATTTTTCGGATTTAAGTAGAGTATCGAGACTAAGGGGTTATTGCAGTTTCAACCTTGCATAAGTATAATCAATACCCCTAGAGTGAGTCGAACCGTATCAGTGCAGAATGTGATCTTGACACTTTAACCACTGAGACACATTGCTTCGAGTGCCCTTGGTTCACAGGGCAGATGTCAATTTCAAGCAAAGCCAGGCCTTTTCGCATATCACTTTCTTTGTTGGGATTGCCGATGAAGCAAACCTATTCTTGCTATCACAATCGACTACGTCACTTGTTATTCTTATTTAACAACCGATGAGTTTGCTGATCTTTAGTCCGCCCTAGACGAGAATAACTTTTGGTAAATCAAGTGTATGTCAAATTAAATGGACGCGTCTACTCTACTGATATCAGTGCAGGCCAATTTTTTTACCATTACTTCATCACCTTAAACGAAATAGGCTGAATACCTCTCATATTCGAAACTATATTTACATACGAAAAACGAGTATCTTTGTCGAGTTGTGTAGTTATAATTATGGCTTGTCTTATTACCGATGCTGAGTAAGATGCCGTCAAATTTTTGGAAATGTAAAACGTCTATTTCCAACTATAGAAATTACCATGCATACTATAAATTCCAACTTTACTTGTTACTCTAGGTCCTCCTACCAATATTACCCAGTTGGAAAAATTATGTCAACCAAACTAGATTGTTATCAAACAACTTCTAGAGTCAAGTCTCTTTGACGAGAAGTCGTCTCGTGATAAGTACTTAAAGTTATTTTATGATGCAGACTACGAAGCCGTTGAAACGTCTGGTCAAACAGCCTCCATTCTACAAATGGTGACTGAGCCAAACAACTTTTTGAGTCAAGCTTCTTTGACGAGCTGTAGTGGTGCTAAAACTGATAATGCTCATTGGCGATGCTGAGTACGATGCCGACGAAACGTCTTGGAATTTACCACGTTCACGGTCCGTCTCTGGATACAATCATGCATACTATGGACTCTGGACAATTTACGTTTCTCTAGGTCTTCCTACCAATATGACCGCGTTGCGAAAATAAGGTCAAACAACTTCTGTGCAACTAGAGAAGACAACGACAAAACAACTTCTAGAAACCTCTCTCTTTGACATGTTTAGTGTAGTTCTAAGACTGGTAAGGCTCATTGACGATGCTGAGTACGATGCCGGCCAAACGTCTGGGAATGTACCACTTCCCAGGAACTATCGTGCATACTATAGACTCCGGACTATGTGTGTTCCTCTAGATCTGCCTAACAATAAGACCAAGTTGAGAAAACAAGATCATACAACTTCTATATAACGAAATGTGACAGCGGTCAAACAAATTCTAGAAAAAATTCTCTAACGATTTGTGGTGTAGTGCTATGAATGGAAAGGCTCTAGACAATGTCGACTACGATGCCGGCGAAATTTTTCGGAGTGTACCAGATGCTGGGACGAACTCTTTGTCTCTGACGGGTTTTTGTGTAGTGCTAAGAATGGCAAGACTCACTGACGATGCCGACGATGATGCTACCGAAAAGTCTGGGAACGTGCCACGTCCAAGTTCCGAATATAGAAATTATCATGCATATTATGGGCTCGGGATTAGGTTCGTTACACTAGTTCTTCTTAACAATATGATCATGTTGCGAAGACAAGGTCAAGTAACTACTATATAACGAAATTAAACGGTGACCTAAAAACTTATTGAGACAACTCTTTTTGACAAGTTGTAGTATTGTGCTAATAATGGTAAGGCCCACAATCGATGCTGAATAAGATAATGTAGAAACTTCTGGAAATGTACAACGTCCATGTTGTGACTTGGAAATTAGCAACAAATCAAGTTTTACAACAAATAACATCTAGAGCCCAGTCTCTTTGACCAGTTGTGCTAAGGGTCTAATAATGGCAAGGCTTACTGACGATGCCGAATACGATACCAGCTACTGTTCAGGGAATGTACAAGGTCCAAGGTCCGACTGTGGAAATTATAATGCATATTGTTGACTCCGAACTAGGTGCCTTCCTCTAGGAATTCGTGCCAATGATAGCAAGGTTAAACAATTTATATATAATGATATGAGACTGCAACCAGACAACATCATGAGACAATTCTCTTTGGCAAGGTAAAGTGAAGGCTCACTGACGATGCCGGGGAAACATTTTGGAATGTACCACGCCCAAGGTCCTACTCTGGAAATTTTCATGCATAATATGGACTCATGACTCCGTGCATTCATCTTGGTCTTCCTAACCACATTGATAAGTTGCGAAAACAAGGTGAAACTACTTCTATAAAACGAAATGAAAAGGCCGCCAAACAACTTCTAGAGACAAGTCTCTTTGAAGAATTTTGTTCGGTGCTAAGAATGGCAAAGCTTCCTGATGACGATGTCGGAATTTACCACGTCCATGGTCTGACTCTGGATTTGATCATGTATTCTATTGACTCCGGACTAGTTGCGATCCTCTAGTCTTCCTACTAATATGACCAATTTGCGAAAAAAAGGTCAAACAACTTTAAAACAATGAAAGGTGATTGCGACCAAGCAACTTCTAGACAGAAGTCTCTTTGACATGTAATGTGATGGTAAGAATGGCAATGTTCACTGACGATGCCGACTACGATGCCGGAGAAACGTCTTGTTTTTTCTTACGTCCACGGTCCGACTCTGGAAATTATCCTGCATTCTTTGGACTCCGGACTAAGTGCATTCCTCTAGGTCTTCTTACCAATATGATCAATTTACGAAACAAATTCAAACAACTTCTATACAGCGTAAGGCGACTTTGACCATACAATGGCCACACCATCTTGGTCTTCATACCTTTCATTAAACTATGGACCTCATAGTCGACAACCAATGCGAATCGCTTATGTTCCCCATGAAATAAGGCTCTCCAACTGTAAAGATTGCAAATTCAGAGTTAACTTTTGTTGCGAGGACTTTACTTGTTATTTAGGCTACGTTATTACTATCGCCTTAGCAACAATAGCTTAGACTTCCTCTACTCCACCCACTTGCTCAGCTGAACCATTATTCTGCCAGCAAGGCTCATTTTTAACTAAATCTAACCGGAGCGAGCCAAATTCTGTCGAGAAGTCTGGGTGGGACGGAAAATAGGCCTAGCAACTATATTATGCCTTAGGGGCTTTCACTTTTATGGCCCAGCTTCGATGGTGCCTTTTGCTTAGCCTCGCAAGGCCCAAAGTTCTGGCAACGCAAGTGATAGTTTCACAGAGGAGACCAGAAAATGCATTAATACCCCTTTAGTTTGACTTAAATCGCCCCGAAAGCCTATCCACACGCATATAGACATAAAATCACATTCATCACCAGTAGTAGGTCTCTTTAACTTCAAAAGGAGCACTCGTACCATGGGGCTGAGAAGCCAAGATAGAAAAAGCCCACTTTACAGACAGCCAAGTCAACAAAAAGCAGATGTCACATATAGGCGCATGCAAATAAGCAAGTAGACAAAGTGGGTATAAACACCACGTTCCATGCTTCAGCCAGGTGTCTGGAGAGAGTGAATAACACGCTTATGATGAGGCTAATGAATTTTTTAATTACAAAAAGGCTTTAAAAATCCAGTTATAACTTAATAATCACTAGACTACTATACAAAAAAGTAATATGAGATGTTTTAATCATATTTCTTTTAAGGAAATAAATGGCTTGTAAAAAAGAAATTTCCCGCAATGATATGCGTTGAGCTTACGTATCCATTGAATTTCACATTGCTTTGCTTTCCCAAAAAATGTTTTTATCCAGGATGAACTGCAATTTCGAGCTTGCATCGGTCTTATTATTATCCTCAGCGGGGGTCGTACTGCGCCAGGCAGGATGGGGACTTTACACGCTAACCATTCGGTTACACTGCCACAAGCGCATTTTGGATCACAGGGCAAATATAAATTTTCAAGGAAGTTTAGGACATTTTGCCAATTAATATACTTTGGTTGTAATTGTTGATTTAAAAAGCGTATATCTGTAATAACAATCGATTACTATAATTTACTTTTCGAATTAACTCTTGTTTTCGTGACTACCAGTAAATCAGTAATATGAGATATTTTTATCCAATTTCTTTTAAGGTGATGAATGTCTTGTAAAGCAGAATTTTCCAGCAATGATATAAGTTGAGCTTACGTTTCCATTTAATTTCACATACCTTTGCTTTCCCAAAAGTTGTTCTCATCCAGGGTAGACTGCAGTTTCGACCTCGCATCACTCTTATCATAACCCTCCACGGATGTCGAATTGCGCTCGTCAGGATGGAAACTTTACACGCTAATTCCTCGGTTACACTGTCACGAGCGCATTTTGGGTCATAGAGTAAATGTGACAATTCATGTTCTTTTGTTGAAAATGTCGATGAAGGAAACTTATATCTGTAATAACAATCGATTACTATACTCCTATTTCGAATTAACTCTTGTTTTCATGACTAACAGTAAATAAGTAATATGAGATGTTTTAATCCTATTTATTTTAAGGAAATAAAGGCTTGTAAAGAAGAAATTTCCCGCAACGATATGAATTGAGCTTATGTATCCATTGAATTTCACATTGCCTTGCTTTCCAAATAATTTTTTTCATCCAGGATGGACTGCAATTCCGAGCGGGGGTCGTACTGCGCCAGGCAGGATGGGAACTTTACACGCTAACCATTCGGTTACACTGCCACAAGCGCATTTTGGATCACAGGGCAAATATAAATTTT